GACAAACTGGCTGTACTAACAAAAGAGAAGAGAAAGAATTAACCTATTTCACGAGGCTCTTGGTTCTGGCTTTGCACCGCGACGGGAAGCAGCTCTACAAGGAGCCCGGGGCGAGCCACCTGGCGGACACTGATCCCTGCAGGGCACAAGGCGGGCCAGAGTCCAGAACCAGAATCCCTCAAGTGACCTGTGCACTCGCTGAAAGCTGGTGGCAACGTTTCCCAAACTCACGAGAGAACTGGTGTCCTAAATGGTGGTTTCTCAAAAGTAAATAAATAAATAAGAAAAAAAAATAAACTTCCAAAGGATCTTTTTTCTGAAATGTAATCCATCTAAGGCAGGGGGGAAGAAAAGAGCACACTTATATAGAAACTATTTTTCCCTAAACGTAACAGAAATTGTTTCTTACTAGCAGGGCGGTCGGCAGCCACCAACTGAACAAAAATGTCCCCTCTGCTAGCTTGCCGCTAAGGCCCTAAGACGCCTCTGTTGACTTGGAGGGAAATATGTATCAATCCCAAATGTCCTCGGTGCAAAGGACAGGTAAAGGAAGTGTGCAGGATGGAGGGGAAATGTGCAAACCCGAGCCCAATACCGGGTAAAGGTCAAACGCCTCAGGAACTTGGCAAGCGCAGACGTGGGTCTGTAACCGGGACGTGGGTCTGTAACCCCGTTCTAACTGCATTAAGGGACACCACCACAGCACTCGGCAGAGGCGGACAGATGACCTGCGGCTTCCACCGCAGCGCTCCAGAACAGCAGCGGGAGCTCTAGCCTCGGCAGAGTTGGACACAGCCCTAGTGCACCAGCGCACATGGGGGTCCTGTTGTCACAGGGGGGCGGCTCCCCCTCCGGTGGGCACCAGCTCCCAGCACATCTGTGAGCAGCGCCGTCTCCACCACGGGAGGTGCCTGCACCAAGCAACCGTGCACGCCAGCGCGGCTCAGCGATCCTATCGTGTGCACATCAGAAGAGGGCGGTCCGGGAGCCTATAAAGCCTGGCCCAAAACGAAGAATCCAGAACGCGGGAGGACATTGTCTCCGGGACCGTCACCAGCAAAGCCGAGGAAGCAAAGGCAGCCAGACGGAGCAGTGAGCGCAGGCCTGAGTCCTCCCGCCGGCCCGCGCCCTCCTCCACAGCCAGAGCACAAGGGCTAAAGCTGGAGCCCCCGCTGTGCTCTGAGGTCCCAGCTCCTCCAGGACACCAGCCGGACACCAGGGCCCAAAGTCCTGCCGGGGAGGGCCGCGTCACTGTCAGCAGCAGCACCGGAAGGGGCGACAGGGACCTCACATGGCAACCCGCACACAAACTACCACGCTGCCCCCTCTGGACCCAAGGATGGCCATCCGTCCGCCGGCGGGAAGCAGTGGCGGCCACCGCCCTGGGCCAGCCCTGCGTAGCAGCCCGCTCCCGGGGTGTGCGGACCCGCTCCCACAGCGCTTACCCCAGGGCGCCCCACGTGGGCACCAGAGAACACCCCCCCAAGGGGGCCCCACCACGGCGCTCCCCCTGCCAGCCCTTCAGAGAGGCTCCGCACGCCGGCAAGATCCTCAAGCAGGTGTTCGGCTGTGATCCTTGTCCTGAGGATCCTGAAACAGCAGGCTGGGGCAGCTTCCCACCACCCTGCCCCGTGACAGCGGATGCGGCCACCCAGCTCTGGACCACGACGTGGACTCCAGACCGTGCCAGGCCTCGACTGTCAGAGCAGCGCCTTCCCCGCCACCTGCAGCCACGGTCTGCACGGCGCCCGCACCCCCAGGCAGGCTTGCATCACCGCCAGGAGGTCCCTCAGACGGCCACGTGTGCAGGACGCTCCAAAGACGACTCGTTCCATGTGCGGGGTAGGGGATGAGAACAAGCGCCTCTTAACCACGGGGGGGGGCGCACAAATAAGCTCGTGCAACAACCCCAGTGTCCATCCACAGACACGTGGCTAAACAAAACGGGGTCTACCCGCACCGTGAACAGTCCTCAGCCCTAAAAAGGCAGAGAAGCGCAGACACAGGCCACCCCAGGAGTCAACCTGGAGGAGACGCTGAGAGCACGGCCAGACACCGAAGGGCACCCCTGGCTGACTCCACTTCCACAAAATGTCGGGGACAAGCAAACGCACAGCGCAGATGGCTGGATGTCAGGGGCTGGGGCGCAGGAATGGGGAAGGACTGTCGATAGGTATGGGGTTTCTTCGGGGGGTGACGAGAATGTTCTGGAAGGACACGGCTGAATGGTCCCACAACTTTGTCAGTATGTTAAAAACTACTTAAATGTACACTTTGAAAGGGTGAATTTTATGATTTTTAAAAATTAAATCTCATAAAGTAAAAAAAGACAAGCATGTACTTCTAATCCATGATCGTTTACACAAAGAAAAGACTGCAGGGGCCCCTGGGTGGCTCAGTGGGTTAAAGCCTCTGCCTTCAGCTCAGGTCATGATCTCAGGGTCCTGGGATCGAGCCCCGCATCGGGCTCTCTGCTCAGCGGGGAGCCTGCTTCCCCCTCTCTCTCTGCCTGCCTCTCTGCCTGCTTGTGACCTCTGTCAAATAAACAAAAAATCTTAAAAAAAAAAAAAAAAAAAGACTGCAAAGGGTAAAATTAAACTTTCCCCCAAAGTATAGCTTTTTACTTAACTAGGAAGAGAGGGAGAGTCCCAGGCGACCTTTATCACACGCTCACACCGAACCCCGAGAACACTGCACCTAAGGCACCTGGCGCCCGTTACCAGCGAGCACAGCCGCGCTCCTGCCGTCTACCGTCCGCCTGGCCGCGCCGACTGCTTTCCTCTCTGGACGTGAAAACGTCCATCTTACCTCATCCACTCCCCTAAACCCTTCTGTTCATCTGCCGAGCAGGAAAAATTATCAAATAATACAGTGAGGGTTGGGAGATGCGGTTGCAAATCGTGACTCTCAGAAAACGTGGTTATGAGAACTATTGCTTTAAACAAAGTGAAGGAAAAAATCGGCCCCGTGTCTTTATCCCTAAGGACAAACACGAGGGCTCTGAGCTCAGAGTTCCAGAGAGAAGGACAGCGGCTCCCAGAGCAGATGCGAGCAGGGCTCCAACGGGGCTGCTCTCCCAGGGGCACAGCACGGGTGAGACCCCGAGACACCGAGAAGGGACGCCGCTCGGACGTGAGATTTCGGCAGAGGAGCCGCCTGCAGGAGCAGCAGAGGGCGCGCCAGGCCTCCAGAGTAACAAAGTCACACGGACCAGAGTGACAGAGGGGACATGGGGAAAACTAGACACCGCGGTTGCTGTGAACCAGGGAAGCAGCAGCCCTAAGATGACTCACCGTAACGTCGTTATTAAGGGTCAGGCAGAATTCTCCAGTCTCCCAGGGATGAAGAAAAAACACGGTCAGCTCCAAGTGACTATTCAAAAATCAATTTAGAAAACAGGAACCTTCTGAGACATAAATATTCCAGTGTGTAAGGCCGGCCTCGCCTAGCCAGCACTCCTCCACAAAAACCCAGAGGGGCTGGACCTGGCAGAGGAGGGAGCAGTCCCTGCACATCTGGCTGGGGACGTCACGCGTGACGGCACGTCGCCCTCCAACAGGCCCGGGGGCAGGGAACCTGCCATGGGCTCCACCGGGAAACACCAAGCAGAGGCGGGACCCTGGCCAAGGTCACACAGCTGGCCAGTTCCGAGTGCGTGAGCAGGGGTGACGGGGAGCCTGGCCCTTGGGGTCATCAGAGGGATTTCTCAGTTGACGGAAGGGCTCTCAGATAAAGCACATTTTCAATCTAACGCCAGCTCCTGCCCCAGCACGACCATCATCGCCATCTTCCCCCTCCGTAAGGGGTGAACGTGTAGACACAAAGAATCGTCTTCAAGAGCTGAACAGGCGCAGGGAAACCCAGACCGCAGCGGCCGGCGTCACAACAGGAGGCCAGCAGCTCGTGCGGCCGACCATCGGGGCGGGAGAGCCCAGCAGGGGACACGGCACTGGCACCCGACAGCCACACGGCCCACCAGGACGCTGCTCCTCCTCTGTGGTAGCTGGAACACCGAGCTTCGACCGGGGCACAAGGTGGGGCGCACGCTGGCATTTAAACACTCGCTAACGACAACACAGAAGAGAACCGCCGCCCGCCCGGAGCTCCCCCTCACCGGAGAAAGACAAGACACAGGTCAAACCGGTGCGGATGGCACAACCACATCTCAGAAGAAAACCCTGGGGAGAAGAGCTGCAGCCCAGGCTTGAGCCAGCCTGACCACCACCAGCGCAAACCGACAGAAGCCAAGGGTTCCACGAGAACGGCTCTGACGCGGAGAACGGCACACGGCCCGACAGGTCCTGACTGCAGTCTGTCCCCCCATCTGTCCCCCCGAGTCCCAGTGTCATCTGAACACAGGCCACACGGGGTCAAAGAGAAACCCTTTCTCCTGGAGCACCATTTTGGCACTAGGTCCCAGGGGGCTGTGAAAAAGGAGTTTGAGCCCCAAACGCTTGGTGTTTACGTAGTTTCAAGACATGTAGACAAAAGTTGGCATTTCCAAGCGGATGACCACAAGGCCCTTCCTGTTGAGTTTGCAGACGGAGCCGTGAACCCAACATTCCTTAGGGGACCAGCACCCCGGGACTCCGGGCGGCCCGCACGCGTCCAGGGCCGCGGACGTGTTTCTGTGCGGGTCCGGCAGCCTGCCCCGCGGCGGCACCGGCCCACCAGGGGATAGGACACGCGGGCCGGCAGGGCCCCGCACGGCGCCCGCACCATCCGCGGAGACCCCCTTCCCCACCGCGCCCTCCCTTCCCGCTAAGAAACACCAGGCCTGGAGAACCGGGGCGACGCCAAGCGTGACTGATCGGTCGCCCAAGGACCCGAGGAAGGGGACAAAGGCCTCAACGCGCCTGAGGCCACAGCACGCAAGAAGGAGAGGCACAAAGGGGCAGCGCACTCCGACCGCGCAGGCCTCCCCAGGACCCAGGCGCCCCGACAGCGCGACCGCCCATGAGGGGCCCCGGGGCGCGGACGCGGGGGCGGGGGTCGCGCACCTTGTGGCAGGCCGGGCAGGTGGGCAGCGCGCTCTTGCCGCCGTGGCCCCCGCCGCCGCCGCCGCCGCCGCTCAGGCTGCTCTGGATCTGCGTGAGCTCCTGGCGCAGCACCTGCTTCTGGTGGAAGCTGAAGGCCGGGTGGTTGGAGGCCATGGTGAAGAGCAGCAGGAACTCATCGCCCGTGCGGCCCTCGTTGAGCTGCAGCCCGTAGTTGTGGATGATGGAGTCGATGTGCGTGAGCGTGCGGTAGAGCACGCCCGCCGCCTCGCGCTGCTCCGACCCCAGCAGCGCCAGCGACACCAGCAGCTTGCTGCGCACCACCTCGTCCGTCAGGTTGGTGAGGCTGCCCAGGTCGGCCGGGTTGTTGGCCTTGATCTCCGAGTCGCGCAGCGAGTGGTAGTCCTTGCGGGCCAGGTCCTCGAGGCACGAGCCGAGGAAGCGCAGCTCGAGCGGGATGCACAGGTCCAGCAGGCCGCACAGGAACTCCACGCGCTGCGGCGACGGCAGCTCCGAGAACCAGCGGTACACGCCGTCCCTCTGCAGCGGGCAGCGCTTCTCCACCATG